GTTCCCAGCACTCTTCTTGGGTGGCTCACAACTGTCTGTAACTTCAGCTCCAGGTGAGCTGACACATTCTTTTGGCTTCCAAGTGCATCTGCACACTCATGTTATACAAGCACTCAATCATAAATAGAAAGACATCTTTAAGGAAGGGAGAGGGTGATTCTAAAATACACAAAGAACCCCTAAAACGCAAAACTAAGAATGCAGATCAACCTATTATTAATAGTGATAAAAAGATCAGAAGAAAACCTCACCACAGAAGGCCCTGGAGATGACAGCCAGGCATGTGAAAAGATGCTGGACATCGTATGTCATTAGGAACTGCAAATTTAAAAGATGATGCCACTAAACACTTTAAAACATGCCTCCAACTGCACCAGCTGACAATTCTCATGCTGATGAGGACATAGAACAAGAGAACTATTTGCTGCTAAACGGGAGTGCAAAATGTTATGCCACTATGGAAACAATTGGGCTGTTTCTCACAGAGCTAAACATAGCTTTACTTTTATCATCTAGCAATAGTGCTCTTAGGGGTTGCACCAAGTAAGTAGAGCACTTTCAACACTTGAATGGTTTATGTCAACTTAATCAGAATTTCAAGGAAGTATGAAAGATGAGTGGTAAGTGGTAGTAATCCATACAGTAGACTACCATTGAGTAATAGAAGAAATGGCTATTGGTCACAAAAAGACATGGAGACCTCTTAAGTGAATATTGCTTGGTGAGAGCAGGCAGCATGAAAAACTGTATACTGGACCCTTTCTGCAAGAGGTAGGCTTATAGGTGTAAGTTCTGTAGTTGCTAGGATGGGAAAGAGGCGAGTGTGAACATCCTGAGAATCTCAGAGCTGTGAAATGGTGCTTTGTGACTCTAATGGCAGGTCCATAGTGCATTTGTCCAAACCACAAAGCCTGCAACAGGAAGAGTGGGATTTCGTCAATAATAATGTGTCACTACCTCCCAGCATTTGAGCTCATTGTATTACACCAATTCCAGTCATTACTAGACTCTTAGTGGGGGGTTAGGGGCCTATAGAAAGACTCTACTCTATTTTCTGTGTGTCTGAGGCTAATCTAAAAAATTCAATCTATTTTCGTTGGGCCTGTGGCCCACTCCTTTAATATAACACTTGGGAGGCAGAGGCAGAAGCAGGTGGATTTCTCTTGAGTTCCAGGCCAGTCAGGGTGACATAGTGAGACCATGTCTCAAAAAACATAAACACAAAAAAATGTGTATTTTAAAAGCCAATAGTAAAACAAAGACTTTCTCTTTGATGATAAGTCCAAGGAAAACTGGAAAGGGAGACATGTTCTTACCTTGAGCTTTGATGTTTTAATGTTCTTCAGTGAGGTGCAGCTCTATTTGGCACCAGTTAAAAGTTCAACTTGTTAACCCAGCCTGCTCTTAGAAGCATGGATTAGGCTTCCTCTACCTGGAGGGGGCCTGAACCTTCTGCTCTGCATAGGCCATGTGAGGACACTAGTGCCCCAGTTAGAATGGAGTGTGATTCAGGAATCTGACCTGTGTCTTCAGCTCCATATATAAATTTTGAGCAATGGCCATTTTGAGAATACCAGTGAAATACAGGCTAGATCTATTGACCTTGTGCCCACTAGCCCTGGATAGCTTATCTGATTCTCCTCCCGCCCCAACACACCCCAAGAGTTGTCTGGTTGAATAATAGCATGTCTTACTTTACATAAATAAACTCTGGAAGGATAGGAAAGGAATAAACATGGTTGGAACTGGAAGATAGGGAATGGAGTGGCAGTAGTGAAAAGTACATCTTTCAAAGATTGTTTTTACTTTGAACCATGTAAAAATTGCTCATCAAAACAAGTGTTGGACTAGGAGTGAGAGAGCACTTGCCTAGCAGTAAGAGAACGCTGGATTAAATTCTTAGCAATGGAAACAGTTACTCTAAGGTAAACAGAAGAAAAAGAAAGAAAAAAAATCTTTTGTTAATCTAATTTAATGGGTAGATTTTCAAGTACCAAAAACTCAGATACAGAAGTCTTTTGTGGGACAATGACCTAATGTTGGTCACTGTTTCTTTCCCTCAGACATATTATTGATTTGATCACAGCTTATATGGGATGAAAAGTCTTTTTTTTTTTTTTTTTTTTCTTCATTAAAGCCATTAGACTTGGTCCTAGTCTCCTCTCTGGTTTCTCAGTGCATTTTGTGTTAGGAATAATCTCTTTAAATTACAAGTTAAGTAGATTTTATGAAGCTGTCTTCTCTGTAGAATTTTGTACAAATACTAAGAATTATCTAAGTGGAGTTATTCAGATCTTGCTACTGAAAGAGGAAAAAGGCAGCTCCAGAATCAACAGTCTCTATTTCTATAAAACTTGATTTGCTAGTAAAGGATTTATTTGCTGGGCATATGCCTTTAGGATCTCTGTGAGTTCCAGGCAAGCCTGATCTACATAGTGAGTTCCAGACTAGCCAGGACTATGTAGTTAGACCCCGTTGTTAAAAAAGAAGGAAAAATAAGTAAAGAATTTATTTGGAAATTATAATAATTTTAAATCTAGCAAATAATATATTGTATATTTTCTGGTATATAGGTACTGACAAAGTTTACAGTTTTATAATCTTGAATACTCAGAATACTAAAAATGGTTGCAACTTTTATCTTCTAGTATGCTTTGTGCTTGTGGCATGTTTAAATCTGAAGACTCAGATGAATAAGCATTCCCACGTACTGTCATTGTTAACAGATTCTGGATAAGTACTTTGGTGAGATGGCTCTGCTGCTGAAAGCTCTTGATGCCATGTCTAATTGCTGAGTTTGATTCCTGGATTCCCGGGGTGGAGGAAGAGAACTGACTCTTACAAGCTTTTCTCTGACCTCCATTTGCTGTGGCATGTGTATGTGCATGCCTGTGTGTGTTCATAAAGTGTAGAAAATGAAAAAATAAGGCTTGGCATAAATTTGCTTATTGTAGATTAGTAACTACTTCTTACAGTGATAGGGATTTATTAAAATGTGTGGCACCAAATTTTTTTTTGTTGTGTGAGTGTATATATTTTAAGCTGGTAAATTCGATTTCATGTTCACAGAAATGTGTAAATTAGATTATTTGCACTTGCTTCCAACCTTTGCTCAGAGTTTAGAGATGTTAATAGGTTGTTGTGAGTTGACGTTATAGGAATGCATATGCTTTTATCACATTGTGTACAGTGCGTGAGCTCTTCTAAAGATCACTTTTGAAACAATGATAATTAGACTGATGCCAAACCAGAAGTAATTTTCATATGGAGTGTTAGAAAATGAATCCCGTGACAGCGTAGAAATGCTGCCCTGGAAGTCAAGAGACCTGTGATCTCTTTGCCAGTAACTAGCTCAGTGACCTGAGGTAGGTTGCATTGGGCTTCATCTTCCCAGTGCACAGGATGGAGGCTTAGACTACACAAGCCCAAGGACTATCCAGCACCACTGAGCTGCCCCAAAGAGCAGCATATAAAAGTGCAGTTCTGTTTCTTTGGGGATGGGGGGGTGGGGAGAGGAAAAGAGTGAAAAACAGAAACACATGAAAGGGTTGACAATAGTTTTTCCTTTATGTAAGATTACAAACAATGTGGGTTTCTCTGTATAATCTGTGCCCCCCCCCCCAATTTTCTATAGGAATATAAACTTTTTTTTTTTTGAGACAGGGTTTCTCTGTGTAGCTCTGGCTGTCCTGGAACTCACTCTGTAGACCAGGCTGGCCTCAAACTCAGGCCTGCCTCTGCCTCTCAAGTGCTGGGATTAAAGGTTTGTGCCACTACTACCCGGCTTGAACATAAACTTTTCTAATCAGGAAAAAGTTCTAAAAAGCAAGCAAAGCATATTTAAAGTCTTTGAATTATAAAAGTGGAAAGGTTTCATGTTAGCTCTTCCTACCTCTGGGGCAGAACTAGACTGAAAATCCTACGAAGATTAATGGTTTCAAGATCTCACTAGGATAAGCTACTGCCTTGTGGGCTGTTTCTGTACCCAATCAATTGCTCTAAAACAATTTGCTCAAATTTCTATTACATAGTGATCCATCCGCCCCCATGGGTTTGATGGCACAGTCTTGTAATCCCAGCATTTAGGAAGATGAATCAAGGGGATTGAGCATTTGAGGCCAGCCTGGACTATGTAATGAGACCCTGTAGGAAAAAGAAAATTCTTTTTTCCAAAATAAGAAAAGGAGCGTAGTATTATGTCTTTGCCTAGAAGAAAACCACTTACTCCTCCTGCCTGGGCTGTATGTTGTGTTCATATATTCAGTGAAGGAAATTGAATGTTGGTACTTTTCAGAAACCAAAGGACAGCACAAATGGTTTTCTGTTTCACACAGGCTCTGGCTGTTCTTCCTCCCTGTTTTCTAGCACGTTTTCTAGGACATTATAACCAGTCCTGATCTTTCTCTTTGGGATTTAGCACACTCTAGTGGACACTAGCTTTTCAGTCGTCACAGTTGCATTTATCATGTCAAGTTATTTTTTGGGCAATTCATTTATGTACTTCTGGGTAGTAAAGTTTGTCAGTTTGTATTTAAGTGGTGACCCTCATGAGCAGGAGAATGCTTGCTGTTTTCTTCAATTTCTCATTCCTCTGCCTTTTAAATTTAAATTTATTTTACGTGTGTGGGTCTTTTGTCTGCATATATGTCTTTGTACCACTTGTGTACCTGATGTACGTGAAGGTCAGGAGGCATTGGATCCCTTGGAACTGGAGTCACAGACAGTTCCGAGTCATCATGTGGGTGCTAATAATTGAACCCTTGTCCTTTGGAAAAGCAGTCAGTGCTTTTAACTGCTGAATCATATCTGCAGCATACCCTTCTCTTTCTGTCTTACTATACACTTTATATTTCTAGCTTAAGACACATAATTTTTTTTGTACAACACTGTAAAATTTTTGAGTGTGCATAAACATTGTCATATCTTATCCTAGAGCAGATTTTTTTTTTCTTTTAAATAGGTGCTGCCACCAAAAAGGTAATGTTTATTTGTTTTTACAGAGCGATGGTGAGGATCTTAACTACATCATTGCATTTTTCCTTGGAACGGCAGCCTGCCTTTACCAGGTAGGTTTCCTCCAGTTTGTATCAGACACTTCCCTATTTCTGTTTTTCAGGTGTCAAGTCTTATAATTGCCCATGTGTTTAAAATACATATAAATGGTATCTGAGTTATTTGCCTCTGTTTTAATTTGAGCCTCTGGTATCTTTGTAACCTACACTTCAAACAAGTTGTGGACAGAAGTTCCCAGTGGAATTACTCTTAGGCCTTTCTCTGTGATGGGATATCAGGGGTGCCTTGTCATGTGCCTGTGGCAGAAAGGCTGATTCTAGATCTTCTAATGAGAGCCAGAGGGATTGGTGCTCTGGAGAAAGCCTTGGACACAGAGTGACACAGCAAGATAACATTTTAGGATTTTTAAGTAGAGATTAATTTTTAGTAGCCATGGATAGGGTCCATTGTAAGAGTAGAGAGACTGGCAGTTAGGAAACCAGTCAGGAGAAGATTCTAGCCTAAACTGTGGCAATGACAGCAAGGTAGTGAAATATTGCCACTGAGAAGGAAGACCAACCAGTACTTAAAGTAGAGTGTGTGGGAGACTGGAGGAGGGGCAGGGTCTACACCCAGCTGGCAGGGAGACTGGTCACAGGAGGGATGGGAGGAATGATCATGGCAGTGACCCAAACTCAGGAATCATTTTGTTAGAGCATAATGAGCAATCAGGGCCCCTTGACATAACTTTTATAAGTGGCATCTTCCTTTGGCTTATACAGGAAAAAAGAAAAGGTAGGAAGATGTAAAGCCTTGTGTGCACCTAAGACTACCCGAACTTCTATAGAACTCTTGGGGAAATACTTCGGTGACTATTTGAGCTTTACAGAAACACATATTACGACTTCGACTTTTAGTGGCTTCACTTTTTAAAATCTGTAAATTTTCTTAATGTTATCTTTACAAGTCTTACTCAACTTGACAGGTTTCATTAGGACAAATGACATTTCATACACATTTGAAGTCATGTGTTTGTTAGTGGCTCATGGTGCTTAAGTTTACTCAGTGTTCTTTTGTGGGTTTCCCACTTTAGTCCTATGCCCCCGTCATACATAGTTATTGTCGCATTTGTAAAAAAAAAAAAAAAAAAGAGAGAGAGAGAGAGAGAGAATGAGAACAGAAGCACTCCCAGTGCTGTCCTAAGTCGGCATAACCAGGAAACGGGAGGAGCCAAGATTAAAGCTTAGCATTAGAGCCCAGGTTCATTCCTCTATATCATGCTACCTCTGTGCCTAACCAAGTCGCTAATCCTAATTTGTACAACTTTTATGATTTTATAAAGGTATAATTTTATAACTGCTATCTCATGATTCTAATGTGAGGTATTGGCTTTCATAATTTCATGAATGGTAGCTCCTTTAAAGGCAAAGCTTTGGTTGCTTTGCTTTACAAAGGTAGTTTGGTGCCTAATCATAGTGGCAGAGTTCTTGACTCCTTGTGTTTCACTAAGCCCTCTACCTATCCGTTGTACCATTAACTCATCACAGAAAGTGCTGCACTAATCTTTCATCAGCACCATGCTGTTCTCTGAGATCTAGACCATTCTTTGAGCTAGTTAGTGATGCAGACCTTAATGTATGTTACTCCACAACAGTGTTGTTGCCAGGCACACCTCTTACATCACCTAGGCAGCCTACAGCAGTTGAAGAGTCGCTTAATGGTGGAGTGCTGTCACTCAGGTATCACTTGAGAGAAGCAAATACATTCTTGCGTTAAGAAAGAAGAGTGTAAAATCCAGTTTGAAGTTCCACAGCTTCACAATGGCTATTCTAACTGTATAGAAGTTCTTTGAGATGATAGACTTTGAGTCTGGATAATATTGGTGTGTGATACATATTTTATTTATAAGTTTTTTAAAATAATAAAGTTTTTAAAAGTTAAAAATGAGAAGCAAACCAGTTTTCTTCACATAGATGGGCATTAAGCTTCCTGCTTTCCAGAAATGCTGAGCAGAGTGGCGACTTTTTTTTGCAGTTATATTTTACTATTTTTATTGTTGTGTTTCCAGTTGTCAGGATATGTTTAAATGAGTTAGGTCAGATCTCTTGAGTCCAGGAGGATAGTGACTATTCTTGAGTCTGAGTATTTCAAATAGAGCAGGGGTGAGTGGAGACATTAGAGACTTTCATTTCTAAACTTAAGTGTTTTCCTTTCAAAACTGCTAAACTTACAGAAAGATTAAAAGACTTGTCTACCCAGAATCACCTGTTACTAAGATCTCTCTGGGTGAGCATGCATTGAGATGTTTATGAAGTTAGCCTTGGGAGCCAGAGAGAAGGCTAAGCAGGTCAAAGTGCTTGCTATGCAACACTGAAAACCTGAGGCTAAACCCAGATTCCGTGTAAAAGCAGGGGAGAATCAATTCCACAGATTTGTCCTCTGATGCCAACACATGCTTTTTGGAATGTGTCTGTTGTGGGACCCACACTGACACAATAATCAAAATTTAAACAGAAACTGCAGAAATAAAAAATGTAAAGAGAAACCCTGCCTCAAAACAAGTTAGAAGAAGAGTACTAGCTCCTGACCGCCACACGTGGGTGTTCACACTCATACATACAAACATTTATACACGAAGAATAAGTGAATAGTGAAAAAAATAGGGGTGGTGAGATGGCTCACCGGGCAACCCTGGTGACCTGAAGAAGTGCCTCAAATCCACCTGAAAGTGGAAGAGAGTTGACTCCAAAGTTGTACTCCAACTGTCACACATGCCATGCATGGCACACGTGAACCCATCTCTACTCACAGATCTTGCACACACACACTCTAATAAATAAAGCTTCGGATAAGCATATATAAACATGTTCATTTGTCTTTCTTGCTAAAGCCTTTTATGACAGCTATAGCCTCATGTGGAATAATAGGAGAAATCCTGTACCTTCTGTTTACCTGGCTTTCCCTGGGGTCCCATCCTGAAAACCATAATACAGTATCACAAGCAGTATGTTGATATTTAATAGTCAAGATAGAGAATATTCCTGTCACCAAAAGGATTCCCCCTGTTGCTTTTTGTATTACGTAGATGGAACTATACTAGAAGTCAGTTCAGGCAGTTCTCCTGACTGATATATACCAGGAGGAAGCTTAAACAATAACTCTTTCTTTCCTGCAGTCCCAGGGGCTAGGATGTCGAGGGCCAAGACATGTTGATAGACACACTTCTTCCTGGCCTAGAGAAGGCTGCCTGCTGGCTGTGTCTTTACACAGCAGAGAAAGTTGCTCCCTTATAGGAGCTATATCCCATCTGGACCTAACAACTTCCTGAAGGCCTGCCTGCTAATACCCCCATGCTGGGGTTAGTCCTCACTGTACATATTTGGGAAGGGAAGGACACAAATATTCAGTTAAACCTTAACCTTCTATGGTGCCTTTTCTTACTCAGCATAATTCTCTGAAGAGTCATGAAAGTTGTTACATAGACGATGTTTTTTTGAGACAGGACTTCACTGTATAGCCCAAGCTAAGTTCAAACCCCTATTCTCCTTTCTTAGCATCAGGCTAGGGTTACAGGTATGGATCACCATGCCTGGCTCATGTACCTGCTTTGTGTGACTATGTCTTTTCTAATTTGTGATACATACCCAAAATTACAATTATTGGGTCATGTGTAAACTTATGCTTAGCTGTTTTCCAGAGTGCTGCTTATGCTCACCCTTCCTCTGTAGCTTCACTAGCATCTGGAGTTGTCACTTTGTTTTATTTTAGCCATTATTAGTTATAGTAGTATTTTATCGTGGTTTTTACTTGAGAATTTCTTAATGGTTATTGATGTTTTCCATTGCTTTATGTGCTCATTTCTCATCTGTGTATCCTCTTAAGTGAAATATAACTCTTGTCTGTTCATATCTCTTGTCTTTTTTCTGATTGGATGATTTATTTTTTTAATTTTTTGGTTCTTTCTTAAGAGTTTAAAAATATTATTTATTTCTCATATATACAATGTTCTGTCTGCATGTACACCTGCATGCCAGAAGAGGGCACCAGATCTCATTACAGATGGTTGTGAGCCACCATGTGGTTGCTGGGAATTGAACTCAGGAACTCTGGAAGAGCAGCCAGTGCTCTTAACCTCTGAGACATCTCTCCAGCCCAAGAGTTTTGTTTTTTATTTTTTCTTAATTTAGTATGTTCCAGATAGTCGCCCTTGTCACATGTGTTATCTCATAATATCCTTTTATGGTAAAGTTTGTCTTTTTATCCTCCTAGGTTCTTTTAGCAGAATATGTTTTTAATTGTTAATTTGATCATTTTTTTCTTTTATGACTCATGCTAACATTTTATAACACTTCCTTAATCTCTGCACATATGGATGAACATAGAGTATGCATAAAGATAGTTATGAAGCCAGCTTCAGGACCAGAGAGATGGCTAAACAGGTCCTAAAGATTTCTGTTTTGTTTTCTAAGTTTTATAACTTTATGATTTATATGTAAGTTCAGGATTTTTTGTTGTGACATTTTATATGTGATATGAGACTCAAGTTGAAAATTTCTTTCTTTTTTTTAAATTGTTTATTCATGACCAAGTGTTCCAGCATCATTTCTTTATGAGACTGTTTTCTTCCACTGAATTGCTTTTGCACTTCTATATGAACTCATTTGGGTGTATTTTGTGAGGCTCTTTCTGGGTTCTGAATTATATTCTTTTGATCTATTATCCTTCTACCACAATCACACTGTCTTTATTACCCTACCTATATGCCGCCTGAAATTCAAAATTTTCTTAATAGTTATAGAATGAGTCAAATTTTCTATCAAAATGGATGAAATTAGGGTAGTTTGACAGTAGTTTGTGGAAATGGTCCATTTTATCTAATGTGTAGAGTTGGTAGACTCTTAATATTCTTTTTATATCTGCAGTGTTTATAATGATTTTTTTTTTCTGATATTGGTAATTTGTAGAGTCACTGTTGGTCTGGTCAGTTTCTGTTTCACTGATTGAATGAGCTGTTCATTCTCTTAGATTTTTTTTTTCCTCTTCTGTTTTTCTGTTTTCAATTTTATTGATTTCTGCTCTCATTAGTTAAATTTTCTAGTTTCATTTCAGTTCTGGTTTTGTCTCACATGTTTTGAAGCTGTGTGGTTTTTGTTCATACAAACATAGGGTTGCTTTGTTATCTTGGTATTTTGACTCCTGTATCATCATTCTCTTTGCTTTAAAATGTTTTGATATTTATTTCTGTTATAAGTACTCTTCTTTTTAAAATTAATGTACATATCCTTTTCCATCATTTTAATTTGCCTTTGTCATTTGATGCAATTTTCTGATAGACAGTAAAATTGATTTTTTAAGTTCACTTTGCCAGTTTCTTTTATTTGCTGTATGTAAGCCAGTTACATTTAATATAATTAAGGCTTATTTTTTGTTGTTTTTTTTTTATTTTTTAAATTTTTTCTCTTTCTGTATACAGATTATTTCAATTTTTAAGAATTCCATTTCAGTTTTATCTATAGTGTTTAAAAATACCTTATGGATTTTAAAATGGTTACTGTAGGCAACTATAGATATTTGTCATGGTCTTCTGTTGTCATCACTTTGTGTTTAGTGAGATGTAGACACTTAATCTCCCTAGATATTCTGTCTTCCTTCTCTGTAATACTTTTGTTTATTTCTTCTATGTATATTCCAGAACACATCAGACACTGTTGTAATACATCTTGCTTCAACTGTGAAACATCAACTGAAAAGGAAAAGACCAGCTATCATGCTTAGTTATACTGTTGCCTACCAAAGTTGGTTTGTTGTTTCTTTGTCTGTTTGTTTGTTTTTCATTATTTCAAGGTTTTTCTTTTGTACTGTTTTGGTTTAGAGAAAATTTTTAGCTGTATAAGTTTGATCAAGGTGGTGTCAACATCTCTGCATTATAAGATATCTTTTTTCTTCATTACCTTTGAAAAACTTGAGAATCATCAATTAAATACAAGAAAAGCTCTTCTTTACAGTAAAATTCCAATTAATAAATGTAGGAAGAATGATGGAGATTAAAAAGTCACTATTAAATCACCGTTAAGCAAACACGACTATAATAACTGATTCAGGCAGAGTCATCAGTGGGCGACATGCATTCCCATCGGGGTCCAGGTTGACAGCACTGATAAAACATACTGTCTGGCACCTCTGTGTTGTTCTTGGCAAACTTACATATGCTTAACTCAATCTTGGAACAGTGGACACATCCAAATTGAGGAACATAGCTCCTGCATAACTGATGAATATTTATCAGGCCTGTCAAGATCATGACTGAGAAGCTATTACAGACTGGACAGCTAAATGCAGTACAGAATCCTGGGTGGGGAAAGGTTCCCAGTGGGACACAGGACAAAACTGCAGCCTATCAGTTAACAGTACTCACTGTGATCACGTCCTGGTATGACGACTACTCTGTGGTGACATAGCAGTGACACTATAGAAACAGTACAGCTCTGCTGTTCAGAGCTCTTCCAGATCAAAGATTTATTCAGAGGAAAAGCTTGTCTTTAAACTTTTATTCCAGAGTGAGAATCACGGATGTAAAATAAATGTTTTTATTCATTTCTATAGATAGCAAAGCCTTTTTTTTTTTTTTTTTTTTTAAGTCAGGCAGGGTCTTACTATATAATTCTGGCTTGCCCGGAACTTTCTAGACCATGCTAACCTTGAACTCACAGAAATTCTCCTGCTTCTGCCTCTCAAATGCTGAGATTAAAACATCACTCTGGTGTGCATTCTTTTGTTTTAAATATGGAATAGTCTTCACTCGTGCAAGAACTAATGTTTGGCGAGAACACCCTTACACCCTCCTACTCTGACGCCTGGTAAAGCTCACAGGGACTCCTACTTCTTTCCAAACACTTCACGGGCACACACATACTTCCTAGAAAATGATTTCAGACACATTCTAGAAAAGAGTTCACCCAGGCACTTAATTTTGTTTAGCACTTTAGTAGGTACCTGGCACTGTTCTAGACCCTGGAGATGAATGAACATGACAGGTAAATCTTCTCCTGTCAGGAGCTATGTATGGCAAGTAAAATAAGCATATTTTTAACATGCTGTGGGAAGAAATTAAGGAAAGGGGGATGATACTAGGGCTGGTGGGCGATACTTCCTTTACTGTCTTGCAGAAATAGCACTCATTGTCATTCTCTGTCCCCTTTTCTGCTTTATGGTTTCTCTTTCTGTGATGTAAGTGCTTTAAGTTAAATGATGAAAACATGCTAGCAACACTCCATTCCTCCAGTGCAAGCTCAGTGAAGGCAGTGGCTGTATTCATCACAGCTGAGGAAGAAGGCCCAACTCCTGGAGCTTTCCACTACCTGTACCCAGACCCCCATCCCTCACTGTTGGTCACACCTGAGACTTGTTGCTTTCCTTAGCCCTCAGGCTCAGGTTGTGGAGAACGTTCATCTTTCTCTGTCGTTTTCTGGGTTTTCTGTGCTTTCCTAGGTGGGGATGGCACAGGCTGAGAGCCCAGAGGCTGAGAGCGCAACAGTTTATCTATCTTGGTCACCTCAGAGAATCTCTACAGTCTGTCTTGCTAGGGAGTCACCTACTTGTACTTCCATTTTAACATATGATGCAGAATGTTTATTTTTCTGAAAAGGGAAGACATCAAAGGAGACATCTTTCCCTTTCAAGCTGTGGAAATTCCATGACTGCATATCTTCAGTAGCTTACATTAGCTCATTATTTTGTTTTCTTCTCATGTTTTATTCTGATCTGTTACATATGTCATTCTTTTCTTATAACCTAACCAACTTTCATTTTTATTTGTTGAACAGTGTTATTTACTTGTGTACTACACCAGCTGGAGGAATGTCAAATCATTTCTGACTTTTGGCTTAATCTGTCTGTGCAACATGTATCTCTACGATCTGCGCAACCTCTGGCAGCTTTTCTTTCATGTGACTGTGGGAGCATTTGTTACACTGCAGATCTGGCTGAGGCAAGCCCAAGGCAAGGCCCCTGACCATGACGTCTGACACCTCCCTTCAGATGTATTGCCTTTGCCTTCAGGGGAAGAAGGAGAGGACGTATATTAACTGCCACTGTGACGAAAAAACCAGTCACCACACATGAGAAGCTCTGCTCTCTTTCTCTTCTCATCTTCCTGTTCTGTTTTTACAAGTCAGCCTGGCATGCCTGAGAGCGTGCAAGACCTGGTAGGAGAACTCCCAGAAGAACCCTGCAGTGGGATGTCAGGCTCATCACAGTAGAAGCTGTTGAGTATCACCCGAGGACCTGGCAGGCAGCATTGAATCCTCACTAGAGAGTCAACCAAAACTTAGTCATGGACCGTGCTCTGAGGACCAAGCAGGAATGCTACAGCCTGAGTTTGCCTTTGTGAGGCATTGGTATAAACCAATTAAGAAGATGCTGCAGGAATTGGAAAACAATGACTGTATTAAGTTTCAGATTATTTGCACAATTATAGTACCACAAGTTTATGAAGTCCAGAATGGCAAGAAATTGGTTCCTTTCCTGTTTGTTTCTGCCACCTTCTAACCCTGGAAATCGCCTGGTGTGGAGAAGGCGGTGATGCACAGCTCTGGAATGTCACAAATCCTGACAACACAGTACATGTGTTTTCTTTTTAGACCATGTTTGTCATTCCTTTTGAAATCACTAGAAATACATGATTCATTTGATTATTGTGGTCTCCCAAACTCTTACCATCTGGATACTGTGTATGCTACTATTTGCTTAGTTTCTAACCTTTACATTTTTAAAGTATTTAACAAAGAAAGGAACCCTACTCCAAGTGGAAAATCAGTATCACTTTGCCAACACAAAATGAAATGTTAAGTTCTTGCAAGATACTCAATCCTACCATGGCTCTAAACCTGAGTGGCACATTCATTGTGATAGGGACAGGTGTTAATGAGAGCCCCTCTGTGGAACACTCAAAAGATAATGGGGAAATTGCAAAGGGAAGATACTCTCACGGTGACACAGCACTGTTTAGTTATGTTTTTGCACCCAAACCCATTTTGTTTATTCCAGAAGTATGGTGCTGAGAATCAGAAAAGTGACTTCCCCTCATAACTCCTGTTATTTCATACTTTGGGTAGGTAACTAGTTTCCAAAAGAAATAACATTCTTAAACGCTTAGAAGATTATTCAAGCCATTTTGAATTCCTAATATGGAAGCACTGCTTGATTTCATTTGCAAAAATGTACAAGACACCTGGTTTGGAGCCATCATGAATGATTTGCCTTTGTCTTTAAAGGAAATATTCCAAACAGTGAATGCATAGGATTCTGTTATTTCATCCCTCAAGACAATGGGCCTTGATACATAATTCCTGCAAGGGCCGTAGTTACTCGGTAGGAGTCTAGAGGCTCAGGTCACTGAACTGCTTTGTCTGCCTTGCCCATTGTGTGGACACTTGCAGAACTGGAAGATCTTCACACCTGGAACCTTCACGGCCCCTCCATCTTAGAAAAAAAAGTAGACAGAAGGCAGTGAGTAGAGGTATGATGCCTACGGCATGTTTAAAACAAGAAATTCCCCTGGTCTAGGTTGCTGCTGTACCAAAGCTGCAGAGTTGCCGTGCACCTTGAGAGATGCCCCGGTGCATCACATGGACTATGCTTAGAATTTTGTACTTACTGAGCCTTGTAAATAAAGTGGTTCAGCTTAGGAAGGGTTTCTGAGCTAGTGGGTAGAACAGAAGATATTAATTATAATAGTAAATTAACCACAAAGCTCAGGCTTTCTGATTAATTGTGGCTATGTCTGGGTAGTTGATAGCTCTCTTACCAGTCTGGTTCAAGTGCTACCTCATCATCACTAAGCTGAGTCACAAGGGTTAGCATTTGAATCCGCTTGTTCGGCAGGGACACTTGAAAAATCACCAGTTATTTCTAAAGCTTGTTTTTTTCTGTTTCTGTTTCACCAGCTGTTTGGGGTAAGAGGATGTTTACATCTTAATGTACAGAATGAAACTGCTATAAATAATCTTTTCTGTATACCACTGCCATCTTTCATTATTTGGGCTGTGTGTCCCTTAGAGGGTATATGACTGTCCTGACTGCCATGATGTTGCCCAAGAACCTCTAGGCTTTTCATTGTCCAGAAAGGCACCTCTTTAGTGTCTAAGCTGTAACACTGATAGCTTAGATTTAAAGCACACTTTTACTCCTAAGTGTGCACTCCCTCAGGGTTCCTGGGAGCTGTGTGTGTGGCTGTGTCCATCCTACGACAAGAGAAGGAGTAATCAGATCCCCAGCTTACATGCCACATGCCTAAGCATATATGTTCTAATGTTACCCCAGGCTCTCTTTACTAGTGTGGGACTAATGAAGGCACTATATCTGTTTATGACAACAGTCTTTCCTGTGTGTTGTACAAGATGTAGTTTATCTTAATTTAGCCAGTTCTGAAATGCTGCCTTTTGACTGTGCCAAGAGCAGACACTCTCTGTCATAATCTAAAAGTATTTGCTTGCTTTATTGGTCTGGGTTTGAAATGTATTCAGACTGAGGCTTTTCCCTGAAAGAACAACTTGCCAAGAAAATCCATAAAACATGGTGTTAACAAAATCTGAACAGAAAGGGGAGATAGAGCAGAGCAGTGAAATCCAAGGAAGGGCTAGAGCTGCCATTGTGGTTTGGAGGTTGTGACTCAGCGCCTGGAAGGTAGGGTTAGGAGGGAATGAATTAGATATTGCTCTGTCAAAGATAAGACACATGTCAGATAAGGCCTCTGTCCTGATGAATTTGGTAAAAAATGTTCACACTTGGCATCCTGGGAAGTGCTAAAATGAGCAGAATTCTTAGACAATGTGTTTACATATTGTGTTGATTATCTATGTGTTTACATATTGTGTTGATTACTTCCATTTCTGTGTGCATGCGTGTGTGTGTGCATGCGTGTGTGTGTGTGTGTGTGTGTGTAAGGATTTTATTTTGTTCCTATAAATAAGAATTCTTGCCCTGAGCTAAGAACAAGTACCTGTTAGAGCTTGGAAATCCATTTGAAACAAATGGATCGTGGAAAACCTTTACCCAGTTTGGTAATTTATAACGCAATGTGCTATTCCTAGCTTAATACAATCATTTTGCAATGTGGGTTTTTTTTTTCACAGCAGACTTGAGTCTGGAAAAGTACATTTCAGTTAGGCCGTGTCAGGAACACCACTCATCCGTGGCTTTGGCAAGGCTCCACAGAGGCCAGTCTCAGTCTTGGCCTGAGATTTCGCCCTTGTGGTACAGACTCAGGGTGACCCCTCTGTGCTCCAGAAGTTAGCCAACCTCCAAATAGATACTTATTTGGCCTTTTTCCCCTAGAAGGCTTAAGTGACCTAAGGACACGTTCTAAGCTGCTGGATTTGCAGCGGGGCATGGTGGAGTGTATGCTTATCACTCTTGTTAGTATTTAAGAAGCCAGATTTACTTTGTTAGAGCTGCCATGGAGTGTGCGGTTAAAGGACAAATAAATGATTTCAAAAGCGTCCACCACTTAGACCAAAGTGAACACTTAGCTTTACCACAAATTCCAGGTCACTTGAGGGCTTCATTCTGCCTATGGTCACGATTTCTTAGTCTTTTTCTTCACTCTAATCCTCGAGTAAGTGAAATCTTTCTACCTAGAAATGCTGTGGTAAGTAGAGCCTGTTATTTTGTTTAAGCTGGATTTAATAATATCCTCACTAAAAGTCAGCAAGGGAATCTCCTGCAACCCTAAGAGTTGTGAATAGGTTGGCGAGGGCCAAGCAGGCAGGAGTGCAGCAAATGTCTGTCTCTGCCACTTGGTGAGAGGCATCTGGTCACGCTCACTCATGCTCTGGGGCTGCTGGCAGACAGCAGCCTCCTGCTTATGCACTGGCTGTTCCAAAGAAAAGTAGCCCCTGCCGCTGACTCTAATGGCCAAGCTTTCAAATAGACGGTTAGGCAGATGAAATGCAGTAAATGTCGAAACTCTGTGTGCTTAGAAGCCACGTGGTTTGCATCCTAGTTATCAGGACTGTCCTTGACACATGGGTACCTGGTGCCCTGTGCCTTGGCAGTGCTGATGTGTAAATGGTTGCACACCTGCAGACTGTAGTAAACTCAGAGGTTCCTGAAATCAGTACCCTGGCATCACAAATTCTTCTCGGTGTTTCCTTGGCAACAAACTGTTTTCAGCCCAGCCTCACCCCTGGTTCACACTTGCCCTTTTCTGCTGCACAGTACAGCACAGCACAGCCATGCAGCATCACCCAAGGCCAGGGAGCTGTCAAGCTTCATCTGGGGTCCCCATGAGGGCCCAGGTGTCCATCCCTAGCCGTCTTGACCACTTGACTATTTTGTGCCAGTTGTACAAACAACCTTGCCTAAAGGTGAGCAAACATTATGTTGCCTTTGTACTTTGTGCTCCAGTAATGCTTGCTCACGCCTTTTGTACTTCTGTATGCCATACCTTAAGGTAGCCTGGGAACAGGAGACACTACCTCATTTCCATTCGGGAGAGGTAAAACTTGGGTCAAGATGGTATGGTATCATGCCAGCCACCGGTGTGTAAAGTTGCTACTACGATTTGGATTTTTACTTAGAAGTTAGAGCACATCTGTCTGTACTACACTGTGTCTGAGAAAGGAAATTCTTGGTGTGTGTATAACAGCATTATAGCAGTAGTGAAAACAGATGAGACATAGAGGGAAAACAGAATTGTGTGCTCTGCAATGTGACTGTTGTCCTCACAGCAATCTTGAAGGCATGCTTTCCTACACATGAGCTGCCCACACCCTAAAGATGTCACATGGTTGACCACAGTCACTCTAATCCTTGTAGTGGCACCAGGATTTTAACCCAGATTGACTTTACTAGGAACTCATGCTCTTATATACTATATGATCTGAAACCATATTTCATGGATGCCTGTGTAACTACATATGTATGCAGGTAATATGCTTTTTAAATACTAGGCAAAGTCAGTGCTAACTCCTGTGATACATACATCCTCAGAGGAATAAAGTAGTTGCATTTCTAATTGTGACAGGACAGATGGCTCAAGAGCATGGAATTAAAGCACCCAGATTTAGGTCAAGGGATTCAGACATTTTTAGTATTTATGTGTTACTGCTGAGTCTTGTGTTACAAAACCTTTACTTTCCCAGGATGCTGCCAGAATACTCTAGTTTCTTTGGCTTGGGGTGATTTCCTGGGAATTCTGCTATGAGTCCCTAGATCTGGAAACAGGAAACACAGAGGGAACAGCTTTCTGAAGTTTACACTGTTAGGATCCAGACTCCCTGGTTCTCTCCTACTTGTGCTGTGACCTTGCATGTCTCTGACACCTTTCTGCCTCAGTTTCTTACTACGTGCAGTGAGTAGGGCTGTTGTAGGATTGTTAAGTGAATGGGTGTGGGTAAAACCCTGGGGCCAGTAGCAGGCAGAAAGCCATGGCCACCATGCTCACGAATGTGATAAATCCCTGCACAAAGGGCTTTAGAAACCATCCCTTAGGGGAGGATCCTGTAGAAATGTCTAGCAAGCAGTGGTGCCTGGGCAGACATCCAAAAAGGGAAGGGAAGGACCACGCTTGCCTCATACCTGCTGTTTGTCAGGTGCTTTGTGCAGGAAATGTGTGTTACCTCAATATCCTGAGGAAGGGATGCAGTGCTACCCTGAAAGAGGTAAGTTATGCCCTTCAGTCCCCTCCCTCCCAGTCCCAAAGGATAAGGCTGCTGGGAGACCTTGTCCTATGCACTGTGGCACTAGAATCTGGGCCTCAACAGGCTCTGCTTTGAGTATACCCATCTGTCTACACGACAGTCTTAGATGACACCAGCCCCTAGTGCCCCTGTGAGTCGGCATTCATGGGAGGGTTGAGAGGTAGGGGCCAGGCAGCCAGCAACCTGCAACCTACAGTTCTGTCAGCTGAAAGGCATTCTTGAAAAGCACAAATATAGCATGGCTATAAAAAGACTAAGGTGTATTGCTCTTATAAAAAGATTAAGATGAGAGCCAGTAGGGAGTGCCACTGTGTCTAAGTGACAAAGTGGGAAATCCAATTTTGCAAAACTGAAAAAACCAGGGAAAATAAGGATAAGCAGAGACGCTGACAAATAGGAGCCTACAGCCAGCTAAGCCCGAATTAGAAGCTGGCCAGTGTGAAAACAGAAAGGTCCCAGTGAGTTCTCTCTCTTGGAAGGTGGGGAAAGTGTGCTGTCACCAGGAGCTGGGGTGGCCCTGCCCCACTTGGTAGCACTGCAGAGCTGAGGTGGAGGGCTGGGAGGGTGCCTTACTGAGCTACAAGCCTCCTTTCCAACCTCCATTGTCCCCCTTCTCCCTTTTCTCTAGACCCCCCTGCTCTGTGACCTCCCCACCTACGGCCCCCTCCCCCAGCCGGCGGTTCAGAGCATCAAGGCAGAGCCCCCAGTGGTGTCGCTGTCCCGCATGGCTGCTGCTGAGGGCAGAGCATGGGCCTTACAGTCCCTGGGGCATGATGCTTTTTGCCTCACTGGTCCCTGCCTGTAGCTCTGAAATTATAATCTTAATTGTTGGTGTTATACGTGTGTTCTGGCACTCAGAAAGCGGGTAAAGAGCTGCACAAATAGAATGCCAGAGGGGAGCCTGGCTGCTGTCCTGACTGGGCTGTGTTCTTGTGTGAGGGAGAACCCTGAAGGTAAGAAGGACCAGCAAAATAGCAAAAAGGCTGTGTACTTGTGTGTCCTGGCCCCAACCCTGAAACAAGCCCTGAGGGCTTTCAGAAGTTCTAGAAGGATCAAGGATGACCAACTTTAAAAAAAAGTAAACATTTGCATATTATATAAAATATGTGTACATACATATGTGTGTGTGCATGTCTTCATGCCATAATGTGCACTTGGAGGTCAGAGAACAACTTGTGGGAACGGGTTCTAGAGTCTACCATGTTGGTCCCAGTGACCGAATTCAGGTTACTAAGCCTGGTAGCAAGTGAGCATTACCTGCCGAGCTATCTCAGCAGCTCAGTCACTAACCTTTGGCACGGAGAAGTGACAGAT